CTATGTGCATCTGTATGTATGTATGTATGTATGTATGTATGTATGTATGTATGTATGTATGTATGTATGTATGTATGTATGTATGTATGTATGCTGGGCCATACGTGACTATAACCTATGTCTGATAAACACAAAGTCAGCCATCTTGCTCCTTCAGTGGGAAATTTGTATAAATTATGTATATCAACCACTGAAACCACTTTGATGTTTGTTTAGATTATAGAAATCTATAATAATTAGTATTAATTCAGTAATACCCAGGAATGGTAGAATAAGAAGTTAGGGGGTGGGAAGATGACTCAGTAGTTGAGAATACTTCCAGAGGACCTAAGTTCAGGTCCAAAAATCATACTGAATGACAAACAACTGACAGAAGCTCCAGCTATTGGTGAATCCCTTGCCTTCTGGCTTCCATGTGCTCTGTACTTACACACACAACTCCTCCACAAACATTATAACAAATAAAAATTAGAAGAAAGAAATTATGGCAAACAAAAAATATTCTATGGGAAAAACTAGCAAAGTCATCTATGATGACTATATCTGACTCTATAAAAGTTTCACAAATTAGTATGTTTACTAGGCCATATACTCATATAGCAAACATTTTTTGCAGAAAGCAAAATAAAATCACTGGATAAAAAGTTATTCTCAAGCTGAGATAAGACTTGCATTTCTAATTCAATCCACAAAGGGAATATTTTACTGATTTTAAATATAAAAATAAAACATACTGAGATTCTATTGAATATAATTTTCAATGTGAAGTATGGATTCTAAAATTTGGCCTAGGATTCAAGGAACACCTTCAAAACCCTCTCAAGGGATGTTTGAGTCACACTATTTTCATAAGATATTACTTGCCTTCTTCCCATCTCATTTCCTGACAAGCATTCCACTCCAGCTGCCCAAATGTTTTAGAAAGATTATATTGTTAATAGGACCAAGATACATATGTGACGTTAACAACTTTCTCTTAAGTAACTTTTTTAAAATATAAGCATGTAATACAATGCCATATCTCTGTGCTTATGGGAAATGTAAATTTTTAAAAACCTTTTCTTTTCTTATTTTCATTTTATATGTATGGGTGTTTGGCCTAAATGTGTGCCTGTGGAACATGTGTGTGCCTGATGCCCAAGGAAGTCAAAAGAGGGCTTTGGCTTCCCTAGAACTGGAGTTATGGATGGTTGAGTGCTAGGAATGGATCTCAGGTCCTCTGTAAGAACAAGTATTGTTACCTGTGAGCTATCTTTCTAGCCCCACAACTTAATATTATAGTGTTTAAGATAGATGGATGTGTTTGAGAACTGCTGATATAAAAACATCACTATTTTCATTTTTTGTCTAAAACTGGTATAACTTATGAAAATACTTAAAGGATTTTGATCTTATTTAAAGAAAAGAATGATCCAGTTCCACTACTTTAGAATGTGCCTTAACAAATGCAAGTCAAACTGATTTTACACAAAAACAAGAAATTTCAATTATCAGGAACACTGTTGGCATTAATTTTGGGTGAAATAGTAAGAAATAATACTGAGAAGAACAGAAATATTTTTGTCAGACAAAATGCTTGAGAATATTTACTTATCACCCTTAGCTATTTCTTGAAGCATATTCTCAGCACCTGCATGGATGCTCACAACTGCCTGTACTCCAGTTCCAGTGGATCTGATGACCTCTTCTGACCTCTGTGAGCTGCTGCATGCACATAGCACAAATATACACACACAAGCACACACACACACATAAGTAGAATAATTCTATATTAATATTCCAATTAAAATAATATCAACTCAAGCTTTTCTTGCATATTTCTTGCTTTTTGATAATGGGAAACTAAACCAATTTACCAATATAATTCATAGGATAATTAAGCAATGGCATGGCAACCAATTTTACATGATTGCAATATATGTTCCTTTCTAATTTTTTCTCAAACAATGTGGAATAAAACTATTTTTTATCCCCATGTTCTGAAAAGATATATACATTTTATTCTGAAATTGCTGGTTTAGGCTGGGATTCCTTCTGAAAAGCACCTGCCAATCAAGTGAAGTTGTGTGATGGGGCTTATCAATCCTTTACCACAAGCAATTAGAAGAAAATGACCTACAGCATTTCCATTTGGACAGAGAATACACAGGCCTTTCTCAAAAGGTGAAAGGCTATTTTATTAAGCCATTGCTGACAGAGAAAAGAGCCCCTTTTGATGGGAGTTCAGTCCATAAATAATGTTGTCCTAGAAGTAAACAGCAGGAATTTTGCCTTGGGACTAAAAGGAAGTAGGGCAAACATACTAAATACTGAGCAGCAGAATATATAAATTATTACAAGAAATAGCTGGGCATTTTGCTGATTTTTCATTCCAGTATAGCATTTTGGTAATCAACTCCATCACATAAATGATGTATATGACTTTGATTATTTTAGTGTTAAACTAGAACAGAGGATTATTCAAAAGTACAAACCTAGTGTTTTGTATTTTTGATGACAAATACAGTTTTTTCCACTTAAACCAATATAAATGGGAGAATATGCTTTCAAGATTATGATATCCTAATTTGATAATGTCAAGTACTAGTATATTCTTTATTTCTTTTTGCAAAGGGAGACAAAAATTGAGTTTAATACTTGAAATGTACTGAATGTCAAGTGAACATGGACATCATTGAAAATCCATGACTCCCTAACAAATTTCATAAAACTGTGCAAAGAATTTCCAAACACCCATTGTGATAAGTTTGTGGTAATTGTATATACCTTTTTGGTTCAACATAAGAAAACATGGCTTAAAATAAACAAACTACAATGTACAAAATGGTATCTCTCACATATACTCCAAAGAATTGCTCTGCCATAAGTGGAAACTATGTCTGAGATTAAGACAATTTGACTTGGAGGAATGTTTTGAGATTCAAAAGAGCTTTCTTTTGTTTGTTGCTCTTTTTTTGCAGGTATAGTATCAAAATATATAGTCCAGGGTGGCCTAGAACTCATTACACAGTTCAGGCTAGCCCAGAATTCATACTAAACTTTCTGCATCAGACTCTCATGGTGGGGCAAGCCCATCTGTGTATGATTATCTTATTGGTTGTTGAATAAAGTACTGTTGGCCAATGATGAAGCAAGTTAGGCGGGGAATAGGAGTCAAGGAGGATTCTGGGAAATGTAGTAAAGAAAAGTCTTGTGATCCAGGAAGGAAGTGACATAGCAGGAAGACTCAGAATATAAGCATGAAATTGCTCTCTTGCTCTTCCTCTTCCTCCTGCTCTCTGCTTTGGAGTTGCCATGTGATCCCAGCAAGACAGGAAGCATTCCGCCAGCATCCTCCATAAGATAAGTCTTATAATTATGGTTGATAATTAATAATTATGGTTGATAATTAAGACAGCTAGCAGAAAAGAAATCTTAGTCATTGTCCAACAGCATTGTAAATAAGATAAGATTGTGTGTTATTTTGAGTGCCCATGTGGCATCATGGCTCAGGCCACTGGTGGAAAGATTTATCGTAACACTCTCAAGTGCTAGAGTTATAATTGTGATGCACCATGCCAATTTTCAAAGGTAATTTCTTATTGATCATAGTTGGTAAAGTACCTGTGACTTACTGAATGTGAAAAATACTATGTTTGTCGTTTTGAATTATCTTTAAGTGATTTTGTATGTATTTATATGTCATGAATTTGAGCTTACTGATATTCTTATATTTTATGAACAAATTATCTAGTATTCTTCCATGATTTCCCTACTAAAATAGTCCAACAATTTCCTAAGAAAGCTTACCAGTGTTAGACCAATGACTCTAGAACCTCTTAAGTTTATGTTCTCTGGATAAGAAATTTTTCTTCTAGTTTTTACTGAGGCAGAGCCAAATGTAGACTGAAGGAAATAAACAGAGGATTCTTTGCTATGCAAATGGCTGGATATCTTTTCTCTTCTTTGTTACAGTATATTTTGAATAAATTTTGTTTACAGTTTGGCTATCCTGACAGCTATAAGGCTACTCTGAAGGAAAGTATTTGTATAATATAGGGTGCCCTTTTTAATGTACTAATTACTTACAAAGATTTTGCAAACTTAAACATTGTAGCTCATTAATGGCTTAGTTGGGCAGTATCTGACAGTGTGGCTGTTGGTCAAATTGATTTTAGATATATGCATGCAATCAGGCCATGAAAAAGAGGAAGGCAACATTTTGTGAGAGACAAGGAGTGGAATTGATTGGACCTATGGAGGAACTATTTTCAAACCAGAGTGCCTTACATACCTCATATATTCCATGTAATCTTCCCCGTATATTTATTTGTTGCATTGAGGACTGAAGCCAAGGATTTGAACATGCTAGATGAGAATCTACCACTGAGCTGTGTTTTCAACCCAGATCAACTGATTTAACATGAGGATATGAAACCATGTGTGAACAGGTGATAGTGGAACATAAAAAGGAAAAGTGAAGTTTGGGATATGATTCATTTGTGAAGCCTTAAACTAGCATGGAAAAAGGATTGATGGCTTCCATCTCCAGCAGCAAAGAGAGAAGAGGTGATTCTGTTGATACATTTTAATTGATTTGTTTTTAAATTTGACTCCTTGTTTACAGTGCAGTGTATAAAAGAAGTTGATGCTCTATTTTTCATTTTTACAATATCATTTTCATTCTCATCTCCATGTAGTTAAGATGTGCTTTTACCACATTATACAAAGAAAAGACTTTGTGAATTTTTTGACTGTTGATCCTTCCCTCTCTCTCCCTTCCTGGTTCTTTTGAGATGGCCCGTAGACTATCATCCAAAGTTCATGGTACCTTTGTCTTAGCTTTCTGAGTACTATGGTTAACAATATCAAGCCTGATTCCCCACTTTTCTTTTCTTTTCTTTTTTTTTCAGAAGAAAACCTTAGAAGGTAAGGTGATTCTTACTGTTTTGATTGTTTGTTTGTCTGTTTTGATTATTCAAGTTGTTATTATTTAAAAATCTCATGACTAGAATTGATAATCTAGTATCTGAGGACATGAGCTAGAAACCTACTGCAATGGAAACTCCCAGGAATCTATGAAGGTGACCTTAGTTAAGAATCCTAGCAATGGGAGTATGGAGACTGACGCCATCATCTCCTGTAACTAGACAAGGTTTCCAGTGGAGAAATTGAGACACAAACCCAGGAACAAAACCTTAGAGCTCAATCACTCCTTCCTGGAAGATGTGCTGAAGTGTAGGTGGTGCAGAAATTGTGGGAGTGGCCAACCAATTACTGTTCCAAATTGATATCCATATCACCAGAGGGTCTACCTATCACACTGTCTGGAGGACCAGGACTGACCCAGGGACCTAAGATAGAATGTAATATAGAATGTAAAAAATAATAATAATAAAAGATTCCTAATGATACTATGTTATACTCATAGATTGGTTCCTAGCCCAGTTGTCTTTTGAGGGGCTTCATCCAGCAACTGATGGAAATAGATGCAGAGACCCAAAACATTAGACAGATGTCAGGAAATTCTGCCGAAGAAGTGGGATTATAGGAGCTAGATGAGTCAAGACACTACACAAAAACCCACAAAACCAACGAACATGAGGTCATAGGGGCTCACAGAGACTGAACTGACTACTGGGGATCCTGCATGGGACTGTCCTAGGGCCTTCACCTATATACTACAGTTGTAGGATTCCTAAGAGTAGAAGCAGGGGCTGTCTCTGATTCTTTTGGCAGTTTGGGAGACTGTTTTCCCTCATACTGGGTTGCCTTGTTCAGCCTCCATGTTTAGTTGATATTCACTGGAGGCATGTCCTCCTCTCATAGAAACAGGAAGATTGCATAGGGTGGGGGAAGAAGGAAGATGGTGGGGGGGAGTGGTGGGAGAGGAAGGAGGGGAAACAGCTACAGTGGTCAGGTTGTAAAATAAATAAAATAAAAGACAAAAAGAAAAAACAACACAAACAAAAAGAACTAGGCAGTAGAGGCCCACTCCCAATATTCCAGCACTTGGCAGACAGAGGCAGACAGATCTCTGAGTTGGAGGCCAGCCTTGTCTATGGGACAACCAAGGCTGTTACACAGAGAAACCCTGTCTTGACAAAAACAAACCAATACAGCTATAGAAACTAGTGACCTTGAGTAACAATGATGAGAGCTTCTATTTTCAGCCAGTTATCTAAGGTGAAAATAAACTGAGAGCTGTCTGTTAAATGCAATTACTTGCTAGGTCTGTTGCTAATTTTCTGTGGAAATTTAAGGCATTTTGGAACTAAGTTAAAAAGAAAACAATTCTAATAGGCTTATTCAAAACAATAGGGATCCACCTCTATAATCGAGGCTGGCTTTGAACTAACTAACCTTGGGCTCTGATCTTCCTGCCTTTGCCTCCTAGGATAACATCATTCTTTGCTTCCAAGATTCTCTTCTGACCAGTGTCATGAGGGATACTATAATATTGTATCTGCCAGTAGCAGCCATCTTTTCCTACTGTGTGACAACAGACTGCTGAGAATGAAGGCAGCAGGAAGAAACAGCACAAATCCAGAGACATAGTATCCAACCTGCTCCCAAACTACGTAAGGAAGATATCTAGTTCTTTTTTTAATTAATTAATTTATGGGGGCCCATACATGCCATGGTTTATGGTGTATTTGTGGTGGGAAGCACCTGTATCAACATTTTTTAACTCTATTCATTACGGAATATCTCCCTACCATTTCATGAAAACGTGAATGAGACTGTGCTACACTTTCCAGTGTAACAACCACAAGTTCACCAATCTACTAAATACAAACAGAAAATCTTAATATAGAAACATAAATTTGAGTAATGAGAGATTAGAGGAACCAGAATTTGATAAGTATGATCAAAGAGAGAAGGGAAGTATCTTGTTTTCAATGCTTGAGTTTGTGGAATCCGTTAAGAGACAGAAGGGCAGCTGGGCAGTGGTGGCGCATGTATTTAATCATAGCACTCAGGGGGCAGAGGCAGGCTGATCTCTGTGAGTTCAAAGCCAGCTTGTTTTACAGAGCAAGTTCCCAGACTGGTTCGATAGCTACTAAAAAACCTTCTCTCCAAAAACCAGGGAGAGGGAGAGAGAGACAGAGACACAGAGAGACAGAGACAGAGAGGCAAGAAATAAAAAGTTGGAAGCATCTAGATAGATGCATGAGCAGAGCCAAAAGGAGATACATGGGACAGGAGTTTAGTGAATTCCAAAGATAAAGGTCTTGGTAATCAAGTTAAAAAGAGATTATAGACCAATAAAGAGCTACAGCGCTACAGTTGTGGAAATGGAGAAATCCATTAAATGAAACTGCCTTTATTGAGAATAAAGCAAGCTTTGACTTGGTAGAATATATGATAAAATGAAATAAATGCATTACATTCTGTTTCATCTCACAGAAACAAAATTAACATTTAAACAAATATGGTTATCATGACCTCTGAATAAACTCATATACCACTTATGGCAAACTAAATTTTTTAGTCTGCACTAGGAAACAAGGAATATGTAATTGCAAGAATGTGCCTAGTATTGTACCCTAAAGTACTAATTTTTTTTTCTTTTTGGTTTTTCAAGACAGGGTTTTTCTGTGTAGCTTTGGAGCCTATCCTGGCACTCACTCTGGAGACCAGGCTGGCCTCGAACCCACAGAGATCTGCCTGCCTCTGCCTCCCGAGTGCTAGGATTAAAGGCATGTGCCACCAACACCAGCCTAAAGTACTATTTTTAATAGCAAAGGAATGTGAAACGAAATGAAAAGCATATTAACTATGGCACTCCAGTTGCTAAGAAATTATTAGGGAATAAAGATGATCTATTTTATGTTTATATGTGAATACATTCAGGACATATGCTTATTTTTAAAAAGAGTAACTTAGGTATAAGGATAATGAGTTTGAAGCAAGCCTGAATTACACAGAAAGAGTGTCTTTTTAAAAAATGCCCCCAAATTCTAAGACAAGTATCCATTGTATAGCTCTATACAATACAAAAGAATAAAACAATCTTACATAATAAAAAAATCACAAAGTAGTTGCAGGAACAATAGCAATTCCTCCTAGGACATATTTCTATATTTGCCATTTGAAGAGTATACATATTCTACCAGTTACAAAATACATTTAAATAGAATGCAGCAATGAAATGTCAAAAGGTATGCTAACAAAAAAGCTGTTTTCTATTAGTTCCCTCAGTTTTTAGTAATGAAGTTGTCTTACATTATCTGTGGTGTTTTTCAATAATATTCTATGTTTCCTTATGTGATAATCAAAATACATTATTCTGGCACCATTGGTAACTGGGGAGATTTGGGGCAGCAAAAAAGGCAGAAGATTATGATGTTGTATCAAAATATGGAGGGTTGTGAACCTAAATATAAAGATATAAAATATATCTTTTGAAAATGCAATATTAAATAACATTATTGCAATTCATATGAATAAATTCATATTCAATTTATATGAAAAAATTTGGACCAACACTAACAAGGAAACAATTTGCTTTCCCCTTTACATTGTGATTCCTTCCTTCCCTCCTTCCTTTTTCCCTTGCTTTCTTCCTTCCATTCATTTTTTCTTTCCATAATTCATTTTTTTATTTTTACAGTACTGGGCACTGAACCCTCATCCATGCTCAGAATATAGTAAGTCCTCTGCCACTAAACTATATACAATGGCCTCTTTTTAACTTGTTTTGATACTGGAGCTTCCTTACACAACAAAGTTGACCTTGAACATAAACTATGACACAGACAGGCCTTGAATTTGGGATCTTACCACCTTATACTCCCAAGTAGCTGTATTACAGGTCCCTGCTTGAGTTTGGTTTCTAAAGTCATGTTAATAGGAATTAGATTCTTTGAAGAAATGGAAGATTTTAAATATGGTACAGAAATATGTGTAGACTAGGTCATCTTGTAATACTGGAAAAAAAATAGAAGATTTCAAAATTCCCTGAGGCTCTAAGAAAGTATCTGAGCAGCAAGTTTGAATCACATTAAACTAGTCAAGAACTGCCAATATTTAAGCAAAAGTTAAATATCATTGAGAATTAGAATATTTCAAGTGTGCTTACCTTCAATAGGTTATAAAAGCATTCAAGGAAAATAAAGCCCATTGGTCTCTTTTAGAGGGTGCTAAGTAAATAAAATCCTATTTGGAAAGTAGTAAAGACATCAACTCAAGAGTGTCTCCTACTTATTTTATGAACTGAAGTTTAGAATAATAAAGGAGATACTGAAAGGAAGATTCTCTGGTAGTAAGCTAGATTTCAGTAAGCTACAACATATAAGACCCCAAATATTTTGGGTTTTCAACTCATTGTTTATTCCAGGGAAAGATATAACCTCCCTGAATGATTAATATTAGCATGTGTTGAAGCTCTAACATTCCTCAGTTAGTGAGTTTGGAAAAGCCAGAAGCGTCACTACTTACATAGTAATCCTGGATAAATAATCCACAACTGATCTACTGATCTAACTTGTCTCCATGTAACAGTTAGGTTTTTTTGGAAAACAAAGACAAAGGTACACACATACACACACACACACACACACACACACACACACCACTATATAGAAACCATCAGCCAAGTAAGTTTTATAGAAAACTTTGCTAAAAAAAATTTCTTTTACCATATAGAAAGAAAAAAAATGTGGGACTATGAATGAAATATATGTGAAGGCATATAAACCAATTAGGATTTATGGATTTTATGGGAATCTTGTACAATAAATTAACAGTTAAAATTGTATACAGATATTAAGGAAATTGAGATGCCAGATCATAGTTTTGTAATTAGGTGAGTTAATGTTATTGAAATTGTAGTAAATATATTCAATTTCTTAGATGTACTAATTTAGAGGGTTCATATTAAATGAGCTAATTCAAGACATTCAGTGGGGTGAAGAAATGATGATGATTCTTTTAAAGCCAGAATATATATGACTTCCATGATTCTTTCTTTTCTGTCAAGATTTCTTAAATCATACTATGTGAAGGAAAATATAGAATGTTTAAAAATATCCTAGAGTGCAGTTCAAACTTCATCTTGGTATTAATAATATGACCCTTACTTCTTAATGACACCATATTTTACTCAACACTACTGAACTTGGCAAGGCTGGCATATTTTTCCTCATTCAGTCCTTTTACAAATCATTTATTTCTTCCTGCATTCAAAGACAATGATTATGCAGAATTTTTAACTGGTTGTGACATTGTCATGATACTCTACAAATGGTAATGGTCATACTGGATAATATGCTGAATTCTGCTTAATAATTTATTTTGTCCAATTTTTCAAGTGGAGAGAAAATATTTCTACATAATATTGAACATTTACCCTGAGCTAAATTACCATCTCTCCCATGAAAACCTGTGAAATGGCTCTGCCCTCTTGTAAAAGAAATCATTTTCATATGAAAGATTCTTGTAAAGAAAAAATATTCATACATCTCTTTTATGTGAGGTAATGCTGCATATGCATGGTTATGATTTTATGTAGTGTGCAAATAAAATACATAGATTTAGCACAAGGAAAACTCAAAGTACATTCCTTACTTTGTGATGGATTTAACTACCTTGGCATTCTGAAGTCAAAATGAGTGGAAAACATGTTTACTGCAATAGTGGCATACAAATTTATTTTCTCAATGAACACTCTAAACAAAGGTATAATTAGACTTTAATTTTCATTCAGTCTACAAAAAAGTGTCCAGATATGATATTTAGATGGGGTTTTATCTACTCACATTATGGAAAGTTCTAAAGAAGTACCTAAGACTTTAGCACTCTGGTACATGCATTTGCTAATGTCCCTGGAGATGATTATATTGTGCTATATGACACACCCGAATTTAAGATGTGGAGAATGTCTAGAGATGAGCTGATCAAGTCACACAGGCCATTTAAACTGTGGTCTAAAGGTCGGACTCAGAGTGATGTGGACATTTCAACAGTGATGGGAGATTTTAACTTTTTACATGGTGAGAATTGCACTATACGGAGTAATAAATCCTCTAGGATCTCAGAATGAGCAGTAAGAGCTCCCAGGAATTCTGGCCCCTTCACCCAGAAGGAAGTAGATTTCACTGCCCTGAGTAAACACAAGAGACTTATTTCCATGGGAGAAGAGGCAGTGGACATCTTGATTTTAGCCTCCTGATAATTCAAGATTAAACCTTGACTTCCACATAACTGTAAAACAATAAAAGGGGACCAATTTAAGCAAGTCATTCTGTGTAAATCAGAAAATAATCATAGTAAGCATAATGTAAACATAAAGACAGATTAAAGCCCCAAGGGATGAAAATATCATGATAAACCAGTTAATTTTTACATGTAAATATACTAATAATTAAAAAATAAAAACTTTTGTTGGGTGATGGTGGTGCATGCCTTTAATCCCAGCACTCGGGAGGCAGAGGCAGGTCGATCTCTGTGAATTTGAACCAGCCTGATCTACAAGAGCTAGTTCCAGGACAGCCTCCAAAGCCACAGAGAAACCCTGCCTTGAAACCGCCCCCCAAAATAAAAATATAAAAATATAAATCTTTTGGGAAGAAAAAGAAACCTATCTTTCCAGAAATAAAAATGACTTATTCTGAAATAAGCCACAAGGTTACAATCAAACATGTTTTCTATGAGTGCAATGTTAACGACATTGGCAAGATAACAACCACAGCATTTCTAATTGTCCATGCAACATAATGATATTTCCAAGCCTACTGAGTGGCTCACTTTCTAGCACACACCTGTGGGTTGCAGTCTTTACTAGCAGTACCACATGGCTTCCTCAGAATTTGAGGCTTCAGGGTGATTTCTACAATTAATACAGTTCTTTGGCTTTAGCTTCATTTTCCAAATGTCAAGTGTACATGGCAGAAATCTAATGGCTTACATCTCTGGGGATATATGTCTTAAGTTTCAGAGCAATGGTAAAATTTTGTTTAAGAAATACGCAGTCAAGAAAGTCTTGAGATAGAAAGATGCTCTTTAAACAGTTTTGTAAACTACCCATCTAACTAAGAAATTGTTTGTGGAGGCACAAAGAATATATTATTGTTTTATTTATTTATTTATTGTGTGTGAGAGAGAGAGGGAGACAGAGGGTGAAAGAGAGCAAGAGGAGTCAGTTCTTTCATACCATGCAACTACTGGAGATGGAATTCAGGACCTCATCAATGTTAGTGGCAAGCACATTTAACTGCTGGGACATTTTATGGCCCTAGTTTGGTTTTTTTAAGAACAATTTATTGCCTGGTCCATGGAGAATCCCATTTTGCACTTTGGATTGCCAGTGTTCAGGAAAGAATGTAAGATGAGTTTTCTTCAGAAGCTAAAAATTACTTGTTACTAAAGCTTTATTTATATTATGGGTGCAAAGAAATAGTTATTCATATATTCTGTTTCTCATATTTATCTCTTTGTATTTTGAGTGTGAACAAGTATTATTTTCTTCAAATATTTCTTTATGCTACTTCTGATTTAAAATAAAAATACATGTGTAATGTATTCATGCACCAAAATATAAACATGTTCTTTCATCTTTTCCCCTGTCATTCCTTACTAATTAGCTTTATCTTTTCATTTTGTTTAGATACATATGATAAGTGGAGGACATTCTACTGAGCCATCAACTAAATCACTAACTTTTATCCTCATAATTTTTCTAATGAAAACAAATGTTACATCTCCAACTTCAATTTGTTTTTGAAATTTGACATTTACAATTTTTTTTAGATTTAAAGCAATCTTATCTATTTTTCTTTATGATGCTTTATCTTTATCCAAGTCTCTACCAAATACATGTGGCTTATTACAAGGCATGCTTTTACATGATTATAACACTAACTTGTAACCTAAAAATATATTAACAAAAATATCCTTTGGCCTTTAAACTCATCCATAAGTTCTTCTATCTGCATAGCCTGTAGAAAATCAACCTTAACTTGATTTCTTAACCTATATATTTTCTGCTTCAGAGACAAATTTATGGAATTAATATTATGTGAATCATTTCAAGATTCACACATGAAAACCCTCCCCTAAATGTGAAGGCTTGGTTAGATTTTACCATAAGGGACATTTGGCTGTATATTGTAAGGAATACATATTTATAGCTCTTTTGTTTAAATGCTGGTTATTTTAGCTGAAAAAGTTATTTTTACCACTGAGGTTGCCTGGTATTTTTTGTTAATGTGTTTAAAGATATAAATAGTTTACTATAGCAGTTAAATCCAAAGGTCAAAATGATACACACATAAAAGGAATACATACATACATTTTCAATCCTTTCTAATCAAAAATTATGTGTCACTAGTATCTTGCACCTTCTGAACCCATCAATTGTTAGATTAACTTTAGTGCAGAGTATTACATGAATCTGTGTGTCTGTAATAACCTCGTGTTACTTAAATCTTCATAAGAAATGGTGTTCTGTAATGGTGTTATATTCCTATATTTAAGCTTTATTTCATTGTCTTTTTTATATGTATGATGTGCTAGCTCGTTTCATATCTATTTCACACAAAGTAGGTTCATCTGGGAAGAAAGAATCTTAATAAGAACATGCCTCCATAGGATTGGCTGGTACATAAATCTGTAGGGCATTTACTTGATTGGTGATTGATATGGGAGGGCCCAGTTTATTTGCGCATTGCCACCCTTGGATAGGTGATCCTGGGTATATAAGAATACAATCTTAGTAAGACTGATGGAGCAAAGCTAGGAAGCAGCATTCCTCTATGACCTCTGCTTTAGTTCCTCCCTCCAGGTTCCTACCTTGAGTTCCTTCCCTGACATTGCTAAATGACGGACTGGGATATGGAAGTGTAAGCAAAGCAAACCTTTTCCCCAATTTGCTTCTGGTCATTTTTCCCCCCAAATCATAGAGACAGAAACTCTATCTGAAACATATGATTTCAATCATGTTTCCCAAATAATTCATATTCAAAAATACATATTTTCAGTAAGAACTGGTAATATATTATACAGATAAAAAATTCTACTTCTTTTTCTGTAGATAGCACTTCAGTATACTAGGACAATTGGAAAACAAATCACACACACACAAACACACTCACACCCACTGCTCTTAATAAAACAAAATTACTAGCTGGGTGTTGGTGACACACACCTTTAATTCCAGCACTCAGGAGGCAGAGGCAAGCGGATTTCTGTGAGTTCAAGGCCAGCCTGGTCTCCAGAGCGAGTGCCAGGATAGGCTTCAAAGCTACACAGAGAAACCCTGTCTCGAAAAACCAAAAAACAAATTACTAGTTTTTATTTGTGTTACCATTTTGCCTGCATGTATGTGCGTCAGATGTGTCAAGTACTCATGAAAATCTAAAGAGTGTGTCAGATCTCCTGAAACTTAATTTATGTCTGGGTGTGAGAACCAAACCTGCAATAGCCTCAAGTGCTCTTAACTGCTGAGCCATCTCTCCAGCACCAACATACAGCTAGTTCTATAAGAGCAGTTTGATAACAATGTTATATGGTCATGTAGACACAAAACTTTACTTCGGTTTTTAAAAGAGTTTAAATAGACAT